CGTTGGGCTGCTGATCTGCCTGCTCAAGATGGATACGCTTGCGGCTATATCCGGTCTGCTGTTCACTGCGATATAGAGTAGTGCGCCTACCAGACTGTGGTAGCGCTCGTTCGTATCTAGAGGCCGGCTGTTTACCCGGCTACGGTAGTATCCTGGGTCAAGCGGGATGCTCGAACCTCTCGCGTCTTGTAGGCCGAATCGTTGAGCGAGTGCACGGATGAATACGTTCTGGTCCAGGCTGAAATATCCATCTTGGTCCCGGGTCACTCGAACGCCCAGAAACTGATTAACTTCACCTAATAACGTCAATGAGATCTTCCTCTTCAACTGGTCCTCGATAATCCTAATCTCCTCCTGAACCGTACTCGCCACGATCATGTCGTCAACATATATCAATAGGTAGATGACGTTGCCATTGGACAACTCCTTGACGTAAAGGCATGGATCTGACACCGACTGTGTGAAACCGAGCTCTCTCAACATCGCACTGATTGTCTCATTCCACACACGTGCGGCCTGTTTCAGGCCGTAAAGGCTTCGCTGCAGTCGACACACGAATTTCTCCTTCCCAGGAACGACGAATCCCTTCGGCTGCATCATATACACCTCTTCCTTGAGCGTTCCGTGAAGATAAGCGCTCTTTACGTCGAGGTGATGAACGGACATCTTCCGATGCCCGGCGACCGCCAGGAGAGTCCTCAAAGTTGTCTGAGTTGCCACCGGAGCGAAAACGGCATCATAATCCACTCCGAATTTTTGCGAGAATCCTCTCGCTACTAGTCGAGCCTTGAATCGAGAGATGTTGCCGATGTTGTCATGCTTCTTCCGATACACCCACTTGCAGCTGATTGGAGTACGACCGGCTGGCAGTTCGACAAGCTTCCATGTTTGGTTTTCCATCAGCGACCGGTATTCTTCCGCCATAGCTTCCTTCCATAATCCTTGCTCGGCGCCCGACACTGCTTCTTCGTAGGTCGCTGGCTCCTCCTGCGCCTGCATCGCAACGCAGACGACGTAGTCTTCCAAACGCTTTGGCAAGACACCCCGGGTGCTCCGCTTCTGCCTTTGTTGGGTCGCTTCCGTTTGGTCGGGCTGTGCCTGTTCATCATCCCCGGAGAAGTATTCCTCATCATCATCTTCCGGATCCCTTGGCGATTCTGGATTTAGTGCTTCAACTTGCTTCTGCGATTGGCTGCTCGAGGCCTCCACCTCTACAAGATCCTCTTCGGTTGGAGGCAAACCATCCGACACTGGTTTCTCCTCCTGAAGCTCCACAAAACGAGCATCGCGACTAATGGTGATTCCGTTTGTATCCGTATCGAGGAATCTATAGGCCTTCCTGTCACTGCAGTAACCCACGAACAGTAACTTCTTAGCCTTGCTATCTAACTTCGACCGTTTAACCTCTGGGATGTGAACAAATGCAGGGCAACCGAACACTTTCAGGTGCGACAGTGATGGTTTCCTGCCGAACCACCTTTCATAAGGCGTCGTATCGACAGCGCGGGATGGCAACCTATTCTGCAAGTAGGCAGCAGTGGCCACCGCCTCCCCCCAGTACTTTTTGTCAAGATCTGCATCAAGAAGCATACAGGTGGCCATTTCTTGTAGGGAGCGATTCTTACGCTCCGCCACTCCATTCTGCTGGGGAGAGTAGGCCGCGGTGTACTGCGCTTGAATGCCCTCTAGCTCATAATACCGTTTCAGCTCGTGTCCGGTATACTCACCCCCGCCATCTGATCTAATAACACATGGAGCCCGACCAAACATGTTCTTGACGTGCGCGACAAATCTCTTAATGCAATCAGTTACATCGCTCTTCCGCTTCAGCAGACACACGACAGTGTATCTACTAAAATCATCAATGATTGTCATTAAATAGCGGGCACCCCCGGGCGTGACGTTTACCATCGGTCCACACACATCAGTGTGAATGACGTCGAGAACACGTTGGGTACGATTAACCGCGATTTTTGGAAATGGAATTCTACATGATTTACCTTCTAGGCAAGGTTGACAAACCTGCCGGATCCCGCAATCCTGAACCTTGAAGTTTTCAGATAGCTCCTTCCTCCGGATCTCATCCAACGCCGCTGGATCCCGATGACCTAGCCGACGGTGCCAGGTATGCTGGCAATTCTGCAGGTGCCGAGCCTCCTTGCCCAGCCGAGCTTCCTCTGCAATCTTCAACGCGAACAGACTGCCGCGGGGTTCCGCCACAGCCACCACTTTGCCTCCCGCGGACAAAATTTCACACCGCGAACCACAGAATTCCACTTTCAGTCCATTTTTCACGAGTTTTCTCACCGATATGAGTCCACTGTCCAATGAGGGCACGTATAGGACGTCTTTGAACGGAATATCCACCAAACGGTTGTCTCCATTCACACACTTTACTGTGCCATTTCCGAGTCCACCGGACATCGTCTCTGACCCGTCGGCCAAGAACACTTTCACTCGCACACTCGTGTCCAGTTCATTGAAGAATGACCGATCGTTCGTCATGTGGCTGGAACACCCACTATCAACGATCCAAGGTCCACTGCACTTGGTTCCAGCCACAAAACATATCGCCAACTCACTTTCTTCAGCCTGTTTGGCCCTCGCACCACCGGACTTAGCTTTCGAATCACGCTTCACATCACTACCGCCCGGGCCACCTTTTGGCTGCTGTGGACAATTTCGCTGAAAATGTCCCGATTTACCGCACCGATAGCACACTTTCTCATTTTTCTTCTTGCTGTGCATCTTCATCGCCGATTCACCGGAGCTCCCCGACCGTTCGCATCGACGCTGATGCTCGTCGATCAGTTTTTGCTTAACCAGCTCCATAGTCTGGTCGGCGTCCGGTCTCCCTTCGAGGGCGGTGACCAAACTGCCATAGGACTCCGGTAGGCTACGGTAGATCATGGCGATTTTAAGCGGCATCTCCATCTCCTGGCCGGCGCACGCCAGCTTATCGAACAGCTCTTCAAGTTCATACAGGTGCTTCTCAATATTGTCCCCTTCGTTCATATTTAAACTGCAGATACGACGAAGCAAGGACACACGTGACGTCATCGACGTCTTTTCGTGGAATTCTTTTAACTTGTTCCACGCGCCCACTGCCGAATCAACACCACGCAATAAATTTAGCTGGCTGTCCTCAACGGCTAGGACAATCATCGCCATAACTTTTTCATCACTGGTTGTCCACTCAGGTGTGACCGGCTCTGGCTTTTCGTCTTTAATAACACTCCAGAGTTCTTCGCGCTTCAAGTACATTTCCATGCGCATCTTCCACACAGGGAAATTTTGATTGTTCAGGCGAGCGAACAGGAATTTATCACCCATTTTCTTCTCCGACCGACACACGCGACGAGAATGAAAAACGTCAGGCCCTTTCCACCTGTTACGCTAGGAAAACAAAAAATCTTCCCGCCTTCCGAACACACCAACGACTACGCCAAAGGAAACGCGCACCACCAGAGTCAGAGTCAGCTCAGCACCAAATTGCACACGCACACTACTACAGTCGTGCGCCCCGCAGCTTGAACAAAATGCTGCCACCGAAAGAACTGTACCGAGCCACCGAAACCACGCCGAAACTTTTCGTGCACTAATGTCTTCCGCAAAGCACTTTTCGTCCCACAAAATACTTTTCTTTTTTCACTATCTCTGGGCCCATAACCTGATGGACAACAAAATGGACAGGCGGACACTTCAGGCACCCAACAGGCAACGGAATACCGGGCGGAATCCGGACAATGCGTTTCGTGATATAACAAGAAAAACTTTCACACGCGGGACCGTATACGATTAGACACGTCTTTATTCATTCGTTTCGGTTACAGACTGATTGGTATGAGAATGATGTTCTGCTTTCGCTCTGTTCCTCTCCAGTTACCAGAGATGCGGTGCAGTGACGGCGTTGGGATAAACGTCGCCCCCACTGTATAGCTGACATTTTTACCGTAATGGCAAGATGCCAAATCCGGCCAAAACAGTACGGAACAACCGTGTTTCTTCAGGAAAGGCAGCAGACGTTTATTCAAACACTCTTTCACGTAAATTTCTTGGTTGACAGTCCCGGAAGCTATGAAACTGCTGCTTTTCAAGCCACAGGTACAGATGGCTTGCCAAACCAGATATTTCTTTGCGAACTTTGACAGTTTCTTGTGCTTGAAAACATCTGCTACCTTTCCCCTTCCTTTTGCCGTATAAAACTCCTGTCCCGGAAGCTGCTTGTAGTCGGCTTTGACGTAGGTTTCGTCGTCCATTACCACGCAGTCAAACTTCGTCAGCATCGTCGTGTACAGCCTCCGGGATCGCGCTTTGGCCGTCGTATTTTGATTATCATCGCGATTTGGAGTCACTACCTTCTTGTAAGTCGATAGTCCGGCTCGTTTTTTGGCTCGATGCACGGTTGTAGACGATACACCCAGCTTATTTGCGGCATCTCGGAGAGAGGGGTTAGGGTTTCGCTTGAAACTACCGGCAACTCTCTTTGTCGTCTCAGCGGCTTCCGGTTTTAGATTTCCCCCCGATCCAGACTTCCTGGCTGTCGACAAACGTTCCCCAAACACTTTAATTACATTTGTAACGGTTGATTTGGCAACTTTTAGCGATTTTGCCAACTTTGCGTGCGAGTAGCTCGGATTTTCGCGATGCGCGAGCAAAATTTTGATACGCTGCTCTTCTTGCTTGGACGGCATTTTGACAACTGAAGAGTGAATTCCAAAATCAAAATAGGAGCAACATTCTACACACACACACCTTCAAAATGAGGGGTGTTCAGGTTTTTTAAATGCAAAATTGAAAGAAATACGTCAAGTTGATATTGACCAAATTTTGACCGTATCACCCTTTACAACTTGAAGGCTGCTCTTTCAAGGTTAATGCCGAAGTCTGATCTTGTTGGAGTTAGACCTGATGCCCGACCAGTACCGCAAGCCGTTCCAGCCAATGGTTCGAGAGTAAAAGTGCCTGAAATAAGACTGCCGAACTTTAGTGGACAACTCATGGAGTGGGTCACCTTCCGAGACACTTTCCGTAGCTTGATACACAATAACCAACAGTTGACAGCTGTGGATAGGTTCTCGTACTTACGATCTTCACTGACGGGCGAAGCTCTACAAGAGATCAACTCGGTGGAGATGTCCGAAGTAAATTACGAGGTAGCTTGGACAACACTGGAACGGAGGTACGAAAACAAAAAGTTAATCGTCAAGGCCCATTTGGATCCCTTGTTTGCGGTAGAAGTTATGAAGAAGGAGAGTTACGAATCACTGAGTAAGCTGGTTGGTGATTTCGAGAAACACTTGTTGATGCTGCAGAAAATCGGAGAGGAGACCGCCAATTGGAGCACCATATTAGTACACATGGTTTGCTCGCGCTTAGATTCCGCTACTCTTCGACACTGGGAGACACATCACAACTCGAAAGAGGTTCCCACATACACGAACCTAATCCAGTTTCTGCGCGGACACTGTTCCGTACTACAATCAGTCGCTCCCGTGAAGTCCATCCCAGTCCAGGAGAAACGGCCCAAGCTTGGAGTGAGTAATTCTGCAGTTCAATCGTGGAACAAGTGCATTCCGCTGCATCAAGTTCCTGAAACTGAAGGTTCCCGAACGCTACGACATGGCACGACGAAACAAATTATGCCTCAACTGCTTATCAGCAGGACATCAGTCGAAGTCGTGCGTCAAGGGGTCCTGCCACCATTGCCAACAGAAACATCATTCCCTGTTGCACAATGACTCAAATCAGTCTGTCAAATTCTCCGTCTTGTCGCAAGCGAAATCTTCATCAGCGAACCAACAGCAACACCAGACACAATCACACACTCAAGGCCAGTCTATACCCAACCAAACCACTCAACCTTCCACAAGCGCTCTCCCTATTACACTCTCGCAGAACACTAAACCACTGTTCACCACAAACCAGACATGCACTAGTCAGAACACAATTTCACTGTCAATCAGTAACCAAAACCGTACTCGAGACGTACTGCTATCCACTGCTGTGGTGTGCGTTAAAGATCAGTACGGAGCGACACGACTAGCCAGAGCTTTACTAGATTCGTGTTCGCAATATTGCTTTATGAGCACCAATTTCTGTCAAAGGTTAAAACTTCAAGGATTCCCGGATTATTTGGCGGTCCAAGGAATTGGAGGATCAAAATCCATATCGCGAAGGATGGTCAAGGCATTCATCTTTCCCCGATCTGGTGATATTTCGTCGTATACCGAAAACATGCCGTTCTATGTGCTACCAGAGTTGACAGCAACACTTCCCGTTCGAAAGGTCAGCACCGGTCAATGGATTCTTCCTAGCAGCATCGTGTTGGCAGACCCGCAGTTCAGTGATCCAGGACCCATCGATATCATCACTGGAGCGGAGTATTACTTTGATCTCCTTACCGATGGGCGCAGCAAGATATCGAAAACCGGCCCAACTCTGCAGAACACCGTCTTTGGCTGGGTCGTGTCTGGTCCCATTCCAAATCAACCAGTAAATCCGCCTCAAGCAGTGTCATATTCATGTACACTAGCGGACATCCAAGACCAGTTAGCACGATTTTGGGAGCTGGAATCCTGCAAATCCAGCAGCATCCATTCTGTGGAAGAGTCATCGTGCGAAGCTGGTTTCGACGAAACAGCAACACGGAACAGCAGTGGAAGATTTGTAGTGTCCCTACCGAAGAAGGAGTTCGTGATGCAACAGCTTGGAGAATCTGAACTAATCGCTACTAAACGTTTTCTCGCCCTGGGAAGACGCTTGGAAGCAAATCCAGATCTGAAAGCTCAGTACCAGGATTTTATTCACGAGCATCAACGATTCAGATTTCCCGATATACTTTCTCCCACACCACGCTGTATTCAAGCCGGACAGCACCACCACCCAACTGCGTGTGGTGTTCGATGCGTCTTGCAAAACTTCCACGGGCGTTTCCCTGAACGATGCGCTAATGGTCGGTCCAGTCGTGCAAGACGATCTTTCATCAATTCAGCTCCGTTTCCGCCTCCATCGAATAGCAGTTGTTGCAGACGTCGAGAAGATGTACCGCATGATACTGGTGTACCTGTTGGATCAACGACTTCAATGCATCTTGTGGAGAAACTCACCGAACGAGCCAATTCGTATCTACCAGTTGACTACAGTCACATACGGGACAGCGTGCACACCTTACTTAGCTACCAAGTGTTTGCAACGTCTAGCAGAGCTTGAGTCCGACAAGTATCCCGTTGCAGCGAAGGCGATGAAGAATGATTTTTACGTCGATGACATGTTGGCTGGAGCCGATGACATCGAAGCCATTATCCGTTTGGTGAAGGAAATGGTTGAGCTAACCTCCTCGGGTGGATTTAACTTGAGAAAGTGGAATTCCAACTCCAGTGCTCTTCTGGCTGAGTTACCAACTCATCTCGTAGATGATCAATCTGCCTTGGACCTTGATATGTCGAACGCTTCTGTCAAAACATTAGGTCTGCTGTGGAATACGAGCACTGATTGCTTCCTATTTCGGTCACCCGTCTGGAATGCAGATGCAGTTATTACCAAACGAGATGTACTTGCGGACACGGCTCGATTATTCGATCCTCTTGGCCTGGTGGGACCAGTCGTCATCATTGCGAAGATGTTCGTGCAAGATTTATGGAGACAGAAGTGTGACTGGGATGAATCGCTACCAGAAGCAATGCAGAACTTCTGGATCGAATACAGGAGAAATCTCTCGGCTTTAGATTCGCTTTCGATTCCTCGGTGGGTGGCGTTCTGCACGGACCTTGCTTCAATTCAAATTCACGGCTTTTGCGATGCGTCCAAGAAAGCCTACGGAGCATGTCTGTACCTCCGGAGTACCACATTCAGCGGATTAGTGGAAGTTCGTCTCATCACAGCGAAATCCAAAGTTGCACCTCTAGAGGATCTCAAGCGGAAGAAAAGGGAACAAACTACACCCCGACTAGAATTGTCAGGCGCGCTACTCCTCAGTCATCTGTACGAGAAGTTCGTCAGCAGTACCGGTATCCACCACACAGCCCACTTTTGGACCGATTCTACGATCGTGATGTACTGGTTGTCATCCTTGCCATCGAGATGGCAGATGTTCGTGGCGAATCGAGTGTCTGAAATCCAGCACATTACAAAGGGAAGTTCCTGGAAGCATGTAGCCGGTGCAGACAATCCGGCCGACATTATCTCTCAAGGAATGATTCCAGCCCAGTTACAGTATGAAAAGCTGTGGTTCGAAGGTCCTCTGTGGCTTCGCCAAGATGCTAGTATATGGCCGTCGAATGTTCCAGAAGAAGAAGTTGATCAAGCACTCCTGGAGGAAAGAAAGATCGTTGCACTGCCAGCAACATCGGAACCAGTCAGTGAAATATTCAGCCTTCGTTCGTCGCTCTTTATCTTGGTCCGATTGATCGCAAGAATACGCCGTTTCGTCCATAATACACAGCACAGAGATGAGAGGCGTATTGCTTTCCTGTGGTATCCTGAGCACGAAGAAGCACTAGCAGTCCTGGTTCGACTGGCACAACGAGAATCGTTTCCGATGGAATTCGCTGCATTGGAGAAAGGAAAGTCTATCAGCCCGTCGTCAAAGTTGAACAAGCTCAACCCTATCTTCATTGATGGAGTATTACGTATAGGAGGTCGATTAGCAAAGGCACCAGTATCAGCAAGTCGGAAGCATCCGATAATCCTGTGTCACCGTCATCCGTTGGCCAAGTTGGTCCTAGACTATTATCATCGCAAGAACTTCCATTCTGGGATGCAGCTGCTTGTGTCCACAGTGCGGGAGCGATTCTGGGTAACACGCATCAGAAGCCTAGCCAACACTGTCATTCATGAATGCGTCCAGTGCTTCCGTAACAGACCGAAGGTTTTGGATCAGCTAATGGCTGACCTTCCATCCGAACGTGTATCTCCAGCGCCACCATTCCTGAACGTAGGCGTGGATTACTGCGGACCGTTCCTGATTAGCTATCCAATCCGCAGATCCTTCCCTAGGAAACACTTTGTCGCAATCTTCGTCTGCCTTGTAACGAAGGCAGTCCATCTTGAACTGGTGAGCGATTTGACCAGTGAAGCCTTTCTTGCTGCCTTCAAACGATTTGTGGCACGCAGGGGAAGACCAGCCCTAGTCATGTGCGACAATGCCCTGAACTTTGTTGGAGCCAAGCGTCAGTTGGATGAATTACGGCAGTTATTCATGGATCAAGGATTCCACGATTCTGTTGCACGCGGAGCAGTAGAGGAAGGAATAGAGTTTCGATTCATTCCGGCAAGATCTCCCAATTTTGGCGGCTTATGGGAAGCCGCGGTGAAATCGTTCAAAGGGCATTTCAAGCGCACTATCGGCGACAGAGTGCTCCAGCATGACGAAATGTCTACAGTGTTGCCACAAATAGAAGCCATCCTGAATTCTCGACCGCTCACTCCGATCAGTAACGACCCGTCGGATTTCGAAGCGTTAACTCCTGGACACTTTCTCGTCCAGCGACCATTAACAGCGATTGCAGAACCATTGTTGGAAAATATTCAGCACAATCGGCTGTCTATGTGGCAGCGAGCTCAGGACTATGTTCTGCAAATCTGGAAGAAGTGGTCTGTCCAGTACCTTTCCGATCTCCACAATAGAACAAAATGGACCCGCAAGCGCGATAACATCTCCATCGGTACCTTGATTCTGTTGAAAGAGGACAACCTCCCGCCTCTGAAATGGAAGCTAGGACGTGTGGTTGACATCCATGCTGGCTCAGATGGAAACATTCGCGTAGTTACTGTCAAAACGCAAGACGGTCTGTACCGAAGGGCAATTTCCAAAATTTGCATCCTACCGATAAGTGACAACTTCGATCTTTCTGCTTCCGAGCAAAATTAAACAGCGCTCTGCTCGTGCTTCAGTGCGACCAGAACTAACCACTGTCAACATCATTTTCCAATTCCGGAAATCCGAAACATCTTGAGGTCTACCAAGTCCAGTCCATCCGTCCGTAATTCGCTGATCCATCATTGGTGATCGGCATCCTGTATCGTTCTGCATGTGTGAAGTTCAGCACCTGTCTGTCATTACGATACGTTCCTGACTTTGTCGCAATTCCTTTCCGTAAAGTAGGATGATGATTTTCCAAACTGGAGCCTCGCTGAGCATCGTCATCGTTTTGGTGGTCAACACATCCGTTTTTCCAAGCAATTTATCCGTGTGATATGGAATCATCGTTGGTGCTTCGGCGCCCGCGGAGGCCAGGAGGCCTCCGCTCCAGGCAAGTCGATTTATAGTTGGGTTAAATAGTTTAAAAAGCACCCTCTCATTTTTTAGATAGTTCTTTCCGTCGCCAACCCGTGGACACACCCGTGTCAGACCTCAAGTCAGGCAGTCGAAGAAGAAGATCGAAGTCATTCCGTGCCAGCAGTAGTTGGGCTGTAGCAGTCGTCCAGCAGTAGTAGCAGTGTAGCAGTATCAAGAAGGAGAAGTTAGTCCACGTCATTGACGTCGTGGAACCGGCAGCAGTATTGAAGAAGACAAGTGTTTAGATTAGATTGAAATCACTGAGATTCCAAGGTGGGCGGTATGTTTGAACATAAATAGAAGCACCCTACCACCAAACATGTTCCACACGAAATCGTACTTCACCTACTCTCACACACAGCTCTCACGATCCTCTCTTATCAGCTAATCTCCTTTCCACGAGTAGATTGTAGGTACGAGTGAACAGTAGGGTGTTTCATTCTGGAAAAAGATTGATATTTTTGATAGGCCACCCCCTATTTCAGGTCATAACACAAAAACAAACATCTGTGCAAAGAATCAGCTAAATTGGTCAACGTTTAGAGGTCGCGCCAACGATTTCAATTTTGTTCGGGATTTTCGTCAAATTAGTATGGGAAAAAATGATGACCCACTAAAATCATTCTAACTTTTTTCCTAATGAACCGATTTGCATGAAATTAAAATATGTTATACTTAAAACTATAATGAACAACTTTGTTGAAGACTGCAAGTCGATTTAATGATTTGGAAAACAGAAATTGGCTGTCGGAACTCATATTGCAGATAAACCTTGATTTGAGCAGAAAAGCAGGTATGCTGATAGGGCATATATCATAGTATGCTTTGCCAGATTTTTTTTACCTCAATGTTTATAAACATATTGTGCTGTCATCTCTGGATACAATAGTGCCATGGATTTGAGAAGTGATACTGAGAAGTGGTTGATCGGTCAGTTCATTACCAGGTTCACCGGTGGAAAACTTCCGAGTAACCGAGAAGTACTGCAGCTATTATTTTTTCATCGCTCACAATCTCGCTCCACGATACGACAATGCTGCTGGAAGGTGGTTCAATCGGCAGAACAAGTTTGGGTCAGAGCTCGTATCCCAAAGAGAAAAACCAGCCATAGTACCAAGGCTGTGGAAAAACTTCACGATCGGTGGACAATCATAAAAAAAAGTATTTCTCGCATGGACGAAAAATTTGTTCTGCAAAGAAAAGCCTTCAACGAAGGATTGGACAACCTTTTCGATATGGCTCATTCGAATGCCTTGGAGATGATGACGGAAGCAAGCGATCGCGAATTTCTTTTAGCGCAGAGAGAAAAAGGAAGACCAGGATACATGTTGGGCTCCTACAGCGACGCATGTGATGACGGTAAGAGTCAGAAGGAACCAGAAATCAAGGAGAGGGCCGGAAAACGCATCAATCCAACAGCAGCTATCAATCCATACTCTAAAGTGTACAACGAAAAGGTAAAGGTTTGTTGAATGTGTATTATAAACTTTATCAAGTGTTTTAAAACACAGGCGACGATCGAAGACCTCGAAGAAAATTCAGATGTTAATTCTGATGTTGATTTTAAGCCAACTTAACCGAAGCAGCGTAAAGTGGTGTCGCCAGAGCTTTGCAAAGTACTAGATCGATGTGGAATTTCGGATCGCAAAGCAATGATGGTTGTTGCAACGGTGGTGAAAAGTGAGGGCCACAATCTTCAAGATTGTTCTGTATCTGTAAGCACTTTGAATCGAACAAGATCGAAAGTTCGAAGGGAACATGCTGAGGAACAAAAAGAACTTTGTTCTTTGGATGGATATCGTGTCGTGCACTGGGATGGAAAGCTTCTGCCGGATATCACGTCCAGTGGCAAAGGTTAGCTAACATGTTTCTCAGATGTTGGTTCTTTACTGATATTTAAACATAATTTTTATTACAGGTGGCAATGTAGAACGGCTGCCGGTTATCATTTCAGGTGAGGGTGATGACAAGTTGTTGGGAGTTCCGAAAATTGATTCGGGAACAGGCCAAGCTCAAGCAAATGCTGTCTTCAAGAGTTTGTGTGACTGGAATCTGGAGAGCCATATCATCGGAATGTGCTTCGATACGACAAGTTCAAACACTGGGCTGAAATCAGGAGCATGTACCTTACTTGAAGAGAAACTGGGGCGAACTCTTCTGAACTTAGCATGCAGGCATCATGTACTGGAACTACTGGCCAAAGCGGCTTTTGACAACTGTTTCGGCTCTTCGACAAGTCCAAATGTACCGATGTTTGAAAAATTCAAATCGGCTTGGAGTTCAATCGACAAAAGTGAGCAGTTGGTTACCGAATAGCCTTCATAAAACCCATTTTTCTAATTAATTTTCAGGCGATTACAAGACAATCAAGGCAAACAAGAAACTATATAAGTCCTTCGAAAATGCTAGCGATATTGTTGATTTCTGTAAAGATCAGCTAACGGTACATTCAAATTAAATTAAAACAAACGTATTGAACGTTACATTGTTTTCATTAATTACAGCAATTCCAACCCAGAGATGATTACAGGGAGGTTCTACAGCTCTGTATGATATTTTTGGGAGGAACACCGGCAGACGGAGTGTCCTTCAAGAAGCCTGGAGCTGTTCACAGAGCACGATGGATGAGCAAAGTTTTGTATTGCTTGAAGATTTTTCTCTTCAAAGACCAGTTTAGTCTCACAAAGGACGAAATCAAGCATATAACGAAATTTTGCATATTCGTTGCGAAAATCTATGTCAAAGCCTGGTTTCAAGCACCATCTCCTCTTTCCGCACCTCGAAACGACCTTGAAACATTGCAAGCGCTTTGCAACCAACGACGAGACAAGATGTGGTGGGCTGTCACTGAAAAATTTTTACGGCATTTATGGTACCTGAGCTCTGAAACTGTTGCCCTTTCCTTTTTCGATCCAGATGTTTCAAAAGCAACTAAAATTAAAATGGTTGCAGCATTGAAACGTAAATTGGACGCCAAATGCGTGCGTCGAGCAGAAGTAGACATTTCGCTGTGCCAAAATCTTGGGCTAGAGGATTTTGTAGGCGTAGAAACCGTTAACTTTTTTAAGCGTTTCAATATCGACTTGAATTTCATGGATTGCTGCCCTGGAACATGGATGGAAGATTCAAACTATCAGCATGCAGTTGAGCGACTGAAGAAATTGAGAGTCGTAAACGATAACGCCGAGCGCGCGGTAGCACTTATCACCGAGTTCAATGACAAAATTACTTACAATGAAGAGCAAAAACAATTTTTGTTGCAAGTTGTAGCCGATCACCGGAAGAATTTCCCAAACGTATCAAAGAAAAGCCTAAAATAAGAAACGGTATTAATATATTGCTCTAAGAGCAATAGCTTTATGAAATATAAACCATCATCAACAGTATATTTTTGTAGTACTTCATTTACACAAATTTATATTCACAAATGCATGTACAGCTTCCTGTACAAATTGCGTATGGTATGTAGAGGGAGGGCTTGCGTAACTTATTGTCTCACAGGAGGGAAGATGGTTATGATAAATGTTACGTAACTAATTAAAACAATTATTGGCTGTTAAATGAACCAAAAAAAATTTAAACTGTTAAGTATTATTTTTTTATTCACTGTTGACAAAAGAGGGAATGAATGAATAACAACCAACATTCAGCAGTAACTCTGAATAATACCCCCTATTTTTGCAGAAAAATGTCCAAATATTATTTCGGGTGTTAGTTAAACTTTCAACGCTTTCTCTTCTCAATAAATCATTTTCATGCAACGAAAACCATTTGTTTAATTGTTAGTTTCTATACAAATCTTCGTGGTTAAAATTATTCGGCTGGTTTTTCTCTTTGGGATACGAGCTCTGACCCAAACTTGTTCTGCCGATTGAACCACCTTCCAGCAGCATTGTCGTATCGTGGAGCGAGATTGTGAGCGATGAAAAAAGAATAGCTGCAGTACTTCTCGGTTACTCGGAAGTTTTCCACCGGTGAACCTGGTAATGAACTGACCGATCAACCACTTCTCAGTATCACTTCTCAAATCCATGGCACTATTGTATCCAGAGATGACAGCACAATATGTTTATAAACATTGAGGTAAAAAAAATCTGGCAAAGCATACTATGATATATGCCCTATCAGCATACCTGCTTTTCTGCTCAAATCAAGGTTTATCTGCAATATGAGTTCCGACAGCCAATTTCTGTTTTCCAAATCATTAAATCGACTTGCAGTCTTCAACAAAGTTGTTCATTATAGTTTTAAGTATAACATATTTTAATTTCATGCAAATCGGTTCATTAGGAAAAAAGTTAGAATGATTTTAGTGGGTCATCATTTTTTCCCATACTAATTTGACGAAAATCCCGAACAAAATTGAAATCGTTGGCGCGACCTCTAAACGTTGACCAATTTAGCTGATTCTTTGCACAGATGTTTGTTTTTGTGTTATGAACTGAAATAGGGGGTGGCCTATCAAAAATATCAATCTTTTTCCAGAATGAAACACCCTAGTGAACAGCTGATAGGGGCAATAAATTAGTTATCCACCAATCGCGCGCGTATACAGATGTTTTTTTTTATCATTATTCCTGTGACCTTTTTTT